ACAGGTGTGTACAGGTGTGTACAGGTGTCCTTGTGTGTCAGCAGGTGGTGATCATGGCAGGTTTGTGATCAACAACAGGACAGGTGAGATCAGGTTAACCAGACCTGTGAACAGCCAACCAATGATGACAAACTTCACTCTCACTGTCATGGTAATAACACTACTTCCTGTTTCCTGTTTAATTTAAAGGACTGACTTCAGAGCAGTGAGTGTAATCTACCTGTCCTTGTGCAGGTGTGTCAGGTGAATGACCGGCTAAAGTACAGCGTGGCGTCGGCCCTGATCAGAGTTCTCAGTGAGAACATGTTCCCTCCGGTCTTCAACAGAACCACCTTTAAAGGTTTCATCATCCAGAGCTCTAGCCCCGCCTCCATCGTCTCCACCTATGGGAACCAGGTGTTACAGGTCCAGGTGTCAGACCGTGACTTCACTGATGTAAGAGCACCTGCTGGTCTACCAGTATTATAACCTTTATGATACCTGGTGAGTCATTACTGCTGTCCAATCACAGGGCCGGAATCCAAACATCCACTACTCCCTCCACCCTCCATCTGGACTGTACCAAATCACCCAGGGGGGGGTTCTGATCGCCAGGACGGACCAACTGCATGCCTTTGACCGACACATACTTCAGGTGGGGGTTAGCTTTAGTTTAATATACTCCTATAATGGTTAAAAAGGTGAAGCACTGGATCATAAAAATATAATATAATATAATATAATGATCAATCAAACTTGAACACATTGATTGATTACTGATATTGTTCCTCACTGCAGGTTGTAGCCAGAGATGAAGAATCAGGAGACGAAGTTTCAGCTTCAGTGGACATTGAAGTCCTGCAGAGAGGACAGCAAGGTGAGAACAACAGGAAGTTACCTTGTGTAAACACACACACACAGAGCAGGACTTCCTGCTTCCTGTGGGGGGGCAGTGGGTTGTAAACTGAGAGAGTGGGGGTCATTAAACTGCTCCACTGATCTCTAATTGATCAAAAACTGATCAGTAATCTGTTTCCTTAATGAGATAACGGCAATTGGTGCGTTCACTGACATTAACTGTAGTCCCTCATGGTGCGTTCACTGACATTAACTCTCTCTTCTCTGGGAGTGCCGGTCGTTGGTGCGGTCACTGACATCAACTCCCTCCTCATCCTGTAAGTGCCCTCCGTTGGTGCCATTCATGACATCAATCTCCCTGGCTTCTCTGTGGTCCTCGGTGTGCGTTCACTGACATTTTCTCTCTCCTCTCTGTAGTCCCTCGTGGTGCGTTCACTGAGCAGCCGTTGTTTGGAGATGTGGACAGCAGGCTGGCTGGAGGAATCGCAGCGATGATCCTGCTACTGTTTCTGTCTTCTGCTCTGTTTCTGCTGCTCCGAACCGTGAGGAGAAGACGACAAAGAAACACTGACGAACACACACCCGTTGCTCTGGGAAAACATCCCAACGTGGTACGAAGTGAATCACTGGCTCTTTCACACACCCAAGATGTTTGAAACGTTGAAACAAATCATCTATAATGTACGTTTCTATAATATCAATGTATGAACTCACAGTGTGTCTCTGTAGTGAGTTTCAGCTCATTGTTCATCTGTTCACTCTCATTTTGTCCTCAAACACATCAGTAATTGTAAATCAGTTCTATACGACATGAGTCGATGAAGGAACTGTGAGTTTGAACTGATTCTCTGCACTCTTTATATTTCCTCCTGTAGACGTTGTTGTGGTTTCACACGGTGAGTTTAAAGCTGCTCTTCAGAGACGTGATGTTGTGATAGTCAGCGTGGACTTCCTGTGATGTGCTTCTGTTTATAGCCTTCATCAGTGGAGTGCCTGTTTCTGTTTCAGTGCATTAACGTCCACCTTCAGTATCATGTGGTGTCCTCAGTGTGCTCCTGTGTTCATGTACAGCTGAAAGACTTCTGTCTGTGACTCATCTTTTTATTCAAATACAGGAAATACACAATATCATAGAAGGTGTAAAGATTTAGTAGAAAATCAGTGTTAATGTTTTAGATGAAGCTACAGGTGCGCGGACTTCTGGATGGATCTGAACCGGATGATGGTCCGATTCTAAAGTTATAAATCTGTTGACTGAAGCTTTGCTGCTTACAGCGTCTCCACTCTTATGAAAGGTAAAAGGTCAACGCCAGGGTCTCGTCTCCAGAGCGACGACAGTAACGTTAGCGCAGAAGCTTTAGAAGTTCTAGTCCAACATTTGGTTCCTGCTTTGGGATTCTAACAGCTTATTTCACTTTCTACCATCTAACCTCACACAATTTATCTGTTAGAGATTAATTTATTCAGGGGAGAGAGGACATAATGATAAGATAAAGTTGAAATTATGAGATAAAAAAAGTCAAAATTATGAGATAATGTTTTTTTTGGTGGGGGGCTTTGTATACCTTGACTTTTTGATTGGACAGGTGAAGATAGACTGAAAAGGGGGGAGAGAGAGGGGGGACGACATGCAGCAAAGGGCCACAGGTCGGACTCGAACCCGGGCC